AATGTTCTGGATGCCTTTGTTTTGTCATGAATATCTGGATGTTTTTATTGTCTGGAATGTTCTGGATGTCTTTGTTTTATGTGCAATATATGGATGGTCAACTAATATACTTGTATTATTTATAATTGATAAAAAGTTCAGTTCGTATTCATGAAGGCATATTCCCTGAGTTGATAAAAGTGAGCGAAACAATTCTTTTGATTGCCATCCCAACTCTCAGATTTATTGATTTTAATATTATCCAATATTACACACATCAGTGCATTATAAGATATATGTTACTGTAAGTCCAACGGATTAACAAGAAAAAAGTCATTACCTCAAAAACAACACATGCTGACATGTGTGGTCTACACGAACATTTGCCATAGTTTGATGAGGTGTTTGTGACTTGAAACCAAACATTGTGCACACTGTGTTGCACAACGTTATTAACGGTTAGTACGTTTTAGGGTTATAGAAGTCAAGATTATGCTAAAGTGAATTATAAGAATGTCAACTAATCGCCTTATACGATTTACAGATGATTAAAGGTTGTAATAAAATATGTATGGACACATAATTAGTCGGGGAATCAATACTTTGATTACCAATCCATGTGAGCTTATCAACTTTAAAAACTATACATCATTACATAAATTGTTAGATATATGTTATATATCACAAACGGTTATAACAGTTGATTGAATATTCGAGGGATTAACAAGAAAAGAATCAGTGTCTACAGCGTTGTGATAGATAGACACATGTTGTTAAAATTATATATACTAATTTGCATAACAAAATATACGTATATACAAATTCAAGGTAACCGACACACAAGATACAACCTTGAATATTAAAAGGGTATGTCATGATAGTACTGGGTGTCTTTGTTGTCATGGATGTTCTGAATAGTATTGTTATGAATGTTCTGAATATTATTGTTACGAATGTTCTGAATATTATTGTTATGAATGTTCTGAATATTATTGTTATGAATGTTCTGGGTGTATACGAATACAAAAATGTCATGAACGTTCTGGATGTTAATGTTATCATGAATGTTCCAGGTGTCTTGTATATGTTGTCAACAATATTCAAGATACAATGGCTATTACTTGGTATTTGATGATTTATATTTTGAAATCATAATTGCATAAATGTGCGAAAAACGAGACTCCGGAGTTGCACTTATTCAATTAGTAACTGGGAGTAGAATGAGCGGGAAATCCATAAATTATTGCTATTATATTATTATCAGTTCATTTTATCTTATTATGCTATGTGTTAATACCCGCTAATGAGACCCTGAGCAACATTTGTGATATATTTGGCAAGGTACTAATACTAGCACGAAATACCGTGTACTTTATGGTTTCTTAATTAACTCGCAGGCCGTACTGCCTAATGCTTGCCAATACGTACCATAGGATAGAAGAGTCTCCGCTACTGACGTTTTGTACCCACGCAAGCCTTGCAATGTTGTTCTGTGAAACTATGGTTTGTGGATAGATCATCCTAATCTGCATTCATGGATTACCAAAAAAGCCTTATCCTTTCTGATTTACAAATGTTGAGAGGTTTAGTGAAAGAGCAAAATCAATTCTTTAATCATCATCATTATTATCTCTCGTTGATTTTAAATTTATCTGTCATTACATGAAAACATTTATCACCCACGGTTAAAGAGTTATTCATCAAGGGATGATTGAGACAATTTGTTACAATAAACTAATTTACATAACGAAATACAGTTATACATTACAGTTACAATACAACCTTGTTCCCATTTTCATTCATCACACAAATTGTAGATAAAACAGTAAAGAACGAATTACCAGCATACATGTCTGAACAGAAAGCTGGAATATTGAGAAGTGTGAGTATTTGTTATTTGATTTAAAGGTCAAAGGTCATTATGCCGAATCCTGCTGTATATCCACACTACGCTTGAATTGTTTGAAAACACATCGATTATTTACACAACGCTTGTACATACGATGTATGATGACTACGATGCTTTAAATTCAGCTGTAGTTCAAACTTTGTCTCATAGACGCATTGGCGAGAAAGGTCAGTGCATGGGTCGCTGCTAATGTCCACGCAATGTACGACGACAAAGAACATTCGTGTTTGCGACTAAGGGACGACAATAGTACCTATACATAACCTGAGTAAAAGTACCATGAACTAATTACCAATGCAAACTCGTGTTTCGAATATGAACACGAACATTTGAATGAAAAAAATATCAGCATCAGAAAGATGCACGCAACACGTGAATCAAGTAGGGCTAAACAAGTCACGCTCTGTGAAAATTAATTATACTCACGAAAACAAATTATTTCCATTCACAGATTTGAGCAGTAGTTCGTATGTATTTTTCTTTTAATTATTTGAGCTCGAATATGTTGTGTACATACTGTTAGTAAGATCAATAATGACGTCAGCTGAATGCTGCTGTATCCAATTATTACTTCATTTTTATATTATGCTCTCATTCGTTGTATTGTACCATATGGTGAAAGTGAATACATATATATGCATGTCGTTCATTCGTCGTAATATTAACGCATGGTAATTCATATATATGATTGCGACAGTATGTTTTCTCTTTTCATAGTGAAATGTCCGATCGTCTTCAGTTCATTTATATCAAATCACTTCATTACATTAAAAAAATATGATGTACACAATGTCATTTAAAGGCTTTCCTGAGAGCCATTCCGTTGAAATGCACACTGTCGGTACATACTACATCGCACAATATATCTGTCGACCATGCGATTAATAACATGTATGGCTGAATGAAATCAGCCCGGCAGAGGCAGCTGTTTTGCAAAATGATTTACACATCGCTTAATTCAATATAAAATATGACACAATGATAAAATTGTGCAATTATCACACATTTATTAGTTAAATCAAATCGCAAATAAAAAGTACAACCAGCAGGAAGGCACCATAAGTGTTAACAGTATATTGCGTATTATAACTAGACGACGGCAATTTATCTCACGTAAATGACGTTAGAAACTGGTGATTAGATATACGTACCTGGGAAAATGTGCAATTATATCATATGATCTAAATAAAGCACACAAATGTCGCATAAAATAATTCAAAGTCGATTGTACATATGTATATGTTCTATACGGGTCCCACGCGACATATAAAATACGTATACAATATACATTGCTTCTTTATTTGTTTTCACGAACTTCGAACGCGCGCTGTGTCACCGCCGTGCGGGTAACTTTAACGAACAGCTAATGTATGGATGTTCTAGTAATAATGTTCAAATCAAATTTGGGTTACGCGCTGAAAACTGCTTTTTGGTAATTTGTTTTTGAATAACTAGGTTTCCTGAGCTAACCGATCTGTTCAAAAATCTGCCATTAAATTGTATCACCATCATGGGTGTTAAATATGTCGGCCGAGAAAAAAATAAATAAAATTGATCGGAAAGTGTGACACTTTAACGGAGAGTTATGCGCACTCTACTTGAATGCTCACGACCTTAAAAGTAAATATTCAAGATTAAAAGCAACAATACGCGATTATTCGCCGCATGAGTCATTTGTGGAGATGACGACCCGTATGTTAATACAAGTAGAAGTCGCGTATGCTCACGATTTGATCAAATATCCGAGCTTTATCTGATTACCTACACATATCAAAAAAATTGCAATATTTGTTATTTTGTTTCGATATATTAAGCAGCCTATATATTCAACAATACTGCATACTGCGCTCATTTTATTCCATTCACGTGTATAGTTTTGTTATCTTAATAATTATCCTACTTGTTTGCAGTTGGTTGCTTAGCGTTCATGATATAGAGCCCCATTGTCTCATCAATCAAATATAAGCAAGCTTAATACTAGAAGATGCGAATTAACGATTTGATACAAGACTAAGAAAGGTATAAACAGAGAACCGGTTCAGTGACCGGGTCTTTCTATCAAATTGATGAGTAACTCGATGGATAGCAGTGTTTGTGGCTTGTTATAGTCCGACCAAATTGACATATTGTGACTGACCTCCCACCCTATTACAATTTATTGTTGTACCTGATGTGAGTGTTTATTCTATCAGGAAATTTTGATATTACAAAGGTAGACAAGATGGCCGTCCACTGCAAATCATTTCAATGGATTAATACCATCAGGCATCAATGTTCGTCACCATAGAAACCCATCCTGAGCTCGCTTGGTGGTATTAATATCAAGTTAATATAACATTATATATACGTTTCTTAGATTCCTATATTGTGTCTGGTTTATCTAAAACCGTTCCCATGGTTAATTACAGTTTCAACTACAGGTGCACGCTCTGTTGCCGGTCGTACACGCAATATAACTAACATCAGCAACACCTGCACGAAACAATCACCCGCAAATCTCCATCCTAAATCCCCGTTCGTCCGTTCGTGTGGATGTCATTTGCCGTGTCACATACTGCCTCAAATGCAGTTATATAGTTCCCTGATGATAAATATATACATATATATCCCAATAAAGAAGTTGCCGTTGCTTGTTACCTTTCTTTTTTGTTGCACGAAACGTGTCTAATTTGTTGACGTGATCGAAAGAAACATTACGCGCAGCAGAGATCGGCAAATAGTAAATTAAAACGCCACAGTCCTAATTCAGCGGTAGTCCATTAAATAATGGTGGCAGTTATTTGTAATCAAGCTAAAAATGAAATAGAATAATCCAAAAAAATCAGAATGTTCATCCACTGAACACACACACACACACACACACACACACATATATATATATATAATATAAATCCTCGCACATACGCCTCACAGCGTGAATTTATTAATATACTCCACTGTACTTCTAGGTGTCATATTCCACTACTAATACTATGAATATAATCATCACCAGTCTGAGATTAAAGGTCAGTCTGCAAGGAAAGATGATTGATAGTTCCGTGTGATTATTTCCATGGAAACGGTTTTTTGAACTTTCACATTCTAAATCACAGAGCAGTGTGAATTGTAAAACCTAGAGTTCAGCTACTGTTTTGGGATATTTCATGGCCGCAGGGTATTTAGGTTGTCTTCCTGTCAACATAGACATATAGTATGATAGATAATAGAGAAACAGCATGGATTAAAGAGGGAAGATTTATGAAGTCGTATGGTGACTTTTGTAACTGGCAGATATGTGTACATTTTGTAGTGTGTGTTAAATTTAATATGAATGTCTTTTCAACACCTGAACTCGTCCAATCGAATAAAACCCAGCAGGTCAACGAATGACTTGTGATTGTAATTCTGAACTCAAGCAGGGACAGTTTCCAATCTTTCAATACTGCACTATACTCAAGATACATTGTCTTCCGATTTTCTACTCAATGTTTTATTTACATTCTCAAATGGGGATACGTAGTCATTCTCCAATTCTGTTTGGAATGTTTCCAAATCTCAAGACAAACGAATTGTCCAACGAATGGAAAGTTAATTCAACTATATTAAAAGTTAAATAAATCTGCGTCGTTACAACGATAGTAAGACGTACATGTGTTTCGTTCGACGGATGGACCCTGTCTTCTCGAAATATAGATAAATAAAATCCAGTGACGTGTAGAGTCTAATCCAAAGTACTGATCAAAATATTATTTTTTACAATTTCTGCCCTGGAAACTGTAAAAAAGACAATGGCCGTCAATAAGCCATATCAAGTCGGTCAAAATGTATGGCAGAAGGTTGTAGTGTTGTAATAGTATTGTAATCAAAAAACACTGCGGATGTGTCCGATGGTGAGCGTTAAACTGATTCGAACGAGACATCGCATAAAACTGTCAAAGACGCAATGAAATAACAAATAACCGACGTTTTTATTGGATTGAATACTATAAAGTAATAAATAACGTACTCCTCACACACAATGTGTGTGGTCACCAGTCAACGTTGAAGAAATATTGATGTTCAAAGGTATGTTGGACAAATCAGTGAAAATTGAATTTGGGTGGGAATTATCCTCAATTTGGTAATCATTTATGTAAATGTTCACTTTCTGATAATGATATTCGTCACGGGTATTGGTTTATGTAGAATATTTGATTGCATTGTCGATTTGAAGGACAATATTCTTTTAATATTTTGTACTTTTTTTAATTGATGTAATACTGTTTCCACGGTAAGAATTTCATCAGAAATTGGTTAAAAATTAAATGGTGGAACAAAAATAAATACTTGAATGATGATGGTGGTGCGCATCAATGTATCTAAATTTCAGAGTGCTTAATGATATATCAATGCAATTAGCGATTCCGATTTTCCTGGATTAGACACAGTGATCAGCATCAGCATGTGGTCACATTTCACCAATACATACATAAGCTAATATTGGAACTACGAAATAATGTTTTTACTGGAATGTTTAAATCTCACTTGTGTCATAATCTAGAACATGTTATACCTCAACATAATATATAATGGATATCCGCACATGAATTATGGTATGCTCACTTGTTCTCAAACAATTGACATATTTTCTTGACTGTAGATTTTATAGGTCAATAAATCGCAATTCTGGTTTGTCCGGGTAATGTGTTCGTACGACGTTTGTTGTTTTTTAATAACCTAATTTGGGTGTCAAATAAACGATATCTAACTTCTAAAGTACTAGATCCTATTAGTTGATGAAAATATGATGAAACACAAAAGACGAATAAGTATAGATATCGATGGCGAGGAGACCACAACACGTAGAACTCTGTCTAGTCGTATTTCTATGAAACACATTGTTGACCATCTTAGACTACTTGTGACTATCATTATACTTCATAGTGTATTTACGATGAAATCATGTCACCCGGTGAAATTATCCCTCATATTATAACATGGCGACACTATTTTTTTTATAGCTAATCTAAAATACTTCACTTTAGCTTAATTAATTGTCGCTGGAAAGACATTTTGGGTGTTTTGCATTGAGTTTATTTTCACTGATTTCCGTTGAGTTAAATGTAAAATATGTAAAAATAAAATCCAGCAAACATATATATTTCCCATATATGTTCACTGAATTGTATTTTTTACTGAATCATCCCTTCAGGGTAAATAGTGAAAATAATTTTCCGGCGAAAATACAGTATTTTTTACTGTATATGTAAATTTAGATGTTTAGCCATTCTTCCAAATTTCTATTTTGGAACAAATATACTGATTGTGAGGTTATGGAATGAAGGAACTACTTTGTGCATGTTTACACCATAGTAGCTCCCAGTGGTCAAAGGTCACAAGAAATAAACAGCAGTGTACAAGGTTGGATTATTGGCAGTGGAACGAGCAATTAAATGTCAACTCACACCGTATGGTGCACACTTAATTCACTACACGTGTAGCCAGTGCGTGAATGATACATTAGTTTGATAACTTCACACATTCGTACATTAGATAAAGACAACTTCACACCTTTTTGTATAAACGCAATGCCGAGAATACCCAACGTTATATTTTTTTGAAAATGAGTACACGTGCTTCATTTTGTCAATGTAGCATTATATGATTTATCACAGTGGGACTGCGTAAGGTTTTTGACTTGGAACTCTAGAAGACTCTAATTAAAGGCACAATTGTGAAGGACGACCGTACTAGAAATATACATATATCCATTCATGGCATTAGTGTCTAATTGAAATTCCCGGTGGTAATCTTAGTGTCTACATGCTGTGTGTGCCTGTGTAAAAACATACGAAAGAAGTGAAAAATCGTGTTTTGGGGCATCGCCGTCTTTAGCTTACTTCCCATGTTGTGAGAATTGCCCCGGGCATCGGGTTTCCCCCACACTCATATCCGCTACAATCACGCATTCAATATAATACATTGACAATGGAGCCGTGTCTGTGTACGTTGTCCAATGACACACTAATAGTAAAGTATACGTATACATGTACGCATGTCTCGATATTGTCAATCACTAAACGTTCCATGTCTTATGCTATATACTAACACGGGTCCGTGAATTCGTTGTATATACCATTGTTGTACAATGACACCGACATTTTACTTGTAGATATGGCATCGTATCTCATCTTCCACTTAATACATGGAACCACTTTATTACAGGTTTTGGGAAAAATAGGTAACATGATTAAAAATGTTTGAGTAAATTCAATCTGTGGTATTTTTAAAATCATAAAAGAACGCAGCTTGAAAAATTTAAACATATATCACGTGCGTTTTAGCTGACTTCTGAAACTACCACAAATAACCGAATTAAAATAATTTCTGATAATAATTCAAGAATAAAACGACATCAACATATTGAGATATTGGCGTATCTGGAGATAGTGATGTCAAACCTTCAATCTGCTTGCATGGTCCAATCTGATTGACGAATATTGAATAATTATTGTTCATTTAATTGACAAGTGGTGATTATGAAATACGTGCATGTACAGTGACAATCGTAGGTCACTCACAAAATGACACACAAAATGCAAACACCTGATATCAGTATTGCACGTGAGACGTGCCTGACACTAACAAATGATTAAAACAGACTTAGACTCATCAGGGAATTCTACTAGCCTGACAAGTAAAGCGGTAATTACAAGTCGCCATGAACAAAAATCTTTCAAAATGTGAAAGAAAAACAAGTATACAGCCCGCATACCAATGCGGTATGTCATAACTTAGTTGTGAATCCAACGTCGAACTCAGTGGACCATTCTTGATGACTTTCATACGCATTCTTGTATACGTACAGCGCCACAATGACAGCCATGTTATTAAATTATCTGGTAATCCGAATAGTTAGCTAAATAAGTTGCCCTAATCGAAACTAAACAAAGTGTCCTATAACATTTATACGGAATGTTTCAAGGCATGACTGTTACATACGTTATTGAAGTATATTGAATATGTTCTGTAAAAGTTGATATTAAAACCCCACATTAAAACGAAATTATTAAAAAATAAATTAACTGGACGAAGTTAACAGGAAATTACATGTTATTCTTTAGACCCCGTGAAGCTCAGATGACTAACCAGTCTTTGACAGCGTAGACGTCAGCGAAACACTAGAGAAGTCGAGTGACTTGTTATGATATATGCGAGAAATCGTGCTGTTGATTTTTTACGACAATGTGGAAAAAAATAGCTTTCGAGCATTTTGATCTACCATTTGGGTATAATAAACAGGGACATAAAACGACTCTATAATGAGTGTTTCATTTTATGGGAGGGCAATGTATACATTCTCACAATTCAGTCCATTCTACTGAATGAATTGAACAGCTCCCTGCATCGTAGAAGATAATTGGCGAGGATCTCATGTCCTATTTTTCTATCCATTCATGTGTGTCGCCAAGCACATAAATGACGCCGTTTTACCATGTCGTCTTTTATTGAATGATTCATGTAACAATCAGAAATGTAGACATGGACGGTGAATATAGATATATGTATAATAAGGTACACGAGGTTTAAATGATCCGAATTATTAATATCAGTCAGTGTTCTACCTTTGTGAACATGGGCTATACAATATGGAGAGGCAAAGTCAACTTATCGGTACATAACATCTACTATACAGACTTTCTCTCCTTCACGACACCGGATTACACTTAATCAGCAATGACACGGGGTTTAGGGGATATTGCACGATTTATTCTCTATGATCATGGCTACCAAGGCTGAGAAGTGACTTCGTATTTAATCTCGTTATCTTTCTCAATCACCCGTGTTAATGTGAACTGATATTCGTTAATATTTCCAATTCATCCTGATTGCCAGATGTGTCTCCCAACTACCCATATACAACTACAATGCAGACAGTTGCAAAGCACTAACAATTCAAATTTAATTGACTACGGAAAGTGAATGCAAACCTCCCACGCTGAATAAACTGCAATAATAGGACACAGATTAGCGTAGATATAATATTGGATACTGTTTACACCCATGCAAATGCAATCACGAACTACAAGACAATTTATTTTTGACCGCAGAAAAAAACAAAATAATTCTATATAATTTTTTGACAATTATTTAAAAAAATCACTCTACTAACCAATGTGTGGTAATTATAATACGTTACTATATCTACCATA